CTGCCACCACGATGAAGGGCGAGTTATTGAAAGCTTGTTCCGAAGTGGATATTCTGAAGGTTGAGGTGGAAGCCAAGGCCAACTGCTGAAGAATGAGGAAGAGAGGCACAAGTCCCACCTCTGAGCTGCCCATGCCATCACAAAAGGGCTGAAGAAGGAAAAGTTCCAGCTCCTGAAGAAGAAGGACGACATGCTTCAAGTCCTCGAGGAGAAGGATGCTGCAATAAGGCGCCTCACTGCCGAGCTCAAGGTGGAGAAGGAACACCTCAGCAACAGAGTTCTCCTGGAAGAAGCATTCAGGCAACACCCAGACTTTGATGGGTTTGCCAAGGACTTCAGCGACGCAGGCTTTAAATTTTTGATGAAGGGCATTGCTGCCAACATGCCTCATCTATAGATCGACCTCAACGATCTGAAGCAGAAGTATGCTGAAAAATGGGCCTCTGGGTCTAATAGCACTCCGGGCCCCTAGTCTTTGGTGGAGAAGTACGTCAGAGAGCTGGACTCTGACTACTCCGATCTGGAAGAGGAAGATGCTCCTAGTCAGGAGCAAGTCGAGGTCGGCACTACTCAAGAGGAGGTCCTTTCGCAACAGGGCGGGTCCCAGGAGGTCAACCTTCTGGGTTCCCAAGGTGAGTTGTCCTCTCACCTCGAGAGTGGCTGATGCTTCTTCTTCCTTTTTTGTAATGCTTTTCCACTTTTATTTTTTATTTGTACAAGTCTTTGAACAGAGCTACAAGGTATATAAACCTTGGCTCTGTCCTTTTATTAATGAAATCTTCATTTCTCCATTTCTGTTCAGCTCTTACTATTCCCCTGAGCTTTTAAACTTACTTTTGTAGAATCGATTATTTACAAACAGTTTTATCTCGCACCTCTAACTCGTAAGCTTAAAGGATTGAGTTTGGGAGGGACTCTTTCACATCGCACCTTTCACTTATATTTATTTTAAAAGTTCGAATTTGAGAGTTTCCTTTATTGGTCTTTAATATTTCTCCTCGAACTCGGAAGCCCAAAGGATGATATTGAACAACTTGAACTTTCCACATCGCACCTTTAACTTAGACGTTCACAGGATTGAATTTTAAGTTTGTAGTTAATATTCACATCACACCTCAAACTCGTATGCTTAGAGGGTTGAATTTTGCAAGATTTACCCTTGGCGACAATTACCTTGTCAGTTTTAAGCCCTATGGGAGTCCTTGGCCCCCATTTAATTTCTGATCGAACTCGGAGTAATGAAATTAAATAACTCCTCCGTTTTAAAGCTTCCTTCCCTTGAAAATTTTTACAAGTCCTATATCGGGACCATTTTGACATTTCAAGGGTAATAGCGCTTTAGGTGCTCCGCGTTCCATGGATGCGGAAGCACACTTCCTTCCAAATCGGCCAGCATGTACGTTCCAGGTCGAACTATGCCTTTAACCTCGAACGGTCCCTCCCAGGTTGGGTCAAGGGTGCCCACATGACTCTAAATCTTCCTTAAGACCAAATGTTCAACTTGAAAACTTCGAGGTCGAACTCGGGCGTTGTAATGTCTGGCCATTCTGTTCTGATATTCTGCTAAGCGTAGCTGAGCCATTTCCCTTTTTTCTTCTAATAAATCAAGGTTAAGGAGTAGCTCTTCCTCGTTCCTTGTTGGTTCGTACTGCTCCACCCTGTCTGTTGGCATGCCGATCTAGACTGGGACAACTGCTTTAGAGCCAAATGCCAGTGAGAATGGAGTTTCGCCGATTGACTCTCTTGGGGTAGTCCGATATTACCACAATACTTCGGGTACCTCCTCGGCCCATCTTCCCTTTCTGGAGTCCAATCTCAACTTGAGTCTGCGCGTTTATGATTTTGTTTATCGCTTGAACTTGCCCATTTGCTTTGGGAAGCGCAGGGGACGAGCTGAGATGACTTATATTCAACTTCCTGCAAAAGTCTTTGAACTTTGCGTTGTCAAACTGTTTTCCATTGTCTGTCACAATGGCGTTCGATATACCAAAACGGCATACGATGTTTGTCCATATGAACGATGTGACCTTAGACTCTGTAATGTGGGCGAGCGCCTCGGCCTCGGCCCACTTGGTGAAGTAGTCGACAGCGACAACGGCGAACTTGGTTTGTCCTTTGCCTAGGGGAAAATGACCTATAATGTCCAATCCCCATTGCGTGAATGGCCATGGGACCGAGATGGGGGTGAGCAGTTCGGGAGGCTGATGGATGATGTTTGTGAAGCGCTGGCAGTTGTCGCAAGTCTTCACAAACTGCTTCACGTTTTGATCGACGGTGGGCCAATAATCCCCTTGTCGAACCACTTTGGCCGATAAAGATCTGGCTCCAGAGTGGTTTCCACACACTCCTTCGTGAATTTCTCTAAGGATGTAATTCCCTTCCTCAGGAGTTACACACTTGAGCAGAGGCAGGGAAAATCCACGTCGGTACAATCCTCCATCCCGGAGTATGAACCGAGCTGCTCTTCGTGCCATCTTCTTGTGTTCTTTTGGGTCTTGCGGTGGATTTCCTTTGATGAACTCCACAGTTGGATCCATCCATGAGTGCGTTAGTGTGTCAATATCCATCATGTCTGGCTCCAAAATTGAAGGATTATCCAAGATTTCGACCGGGACCGATCTCGCTAGATCGGTCTCATATGCCGACGCCAATTTGGCTAAGGCATCTGCATTTGAATTCTCTGATCTTGGAACTTGATTCACCTCGTAAGTTTTGAACTGAGCAAGGTGCGATCTGACTTTACTTAAATATTTTTCCATTTGGGAGTCTTTTGTTTGATACTCCTCCTTGATTTGATTTACCACTAACTGAGAGTCGTTGAAGACCTTAATGTGGGTGGCCCCCAATCCTTTGGCAACGCGGAGTCCTGCCAGAAGCGCTTCATACTCGGCCTCATTATTTGAAGTCCGGAAATTGAATCGCAGGGCATACTCGAACCG